TGCATGCATGCATGCATGCTTGCATGGACGTATGTCTGTATGTATGTAAGTATATATGTATGTATGTATGTATGTATGTATGTATGTATGTATGTATGCATGTATGTATGTATGTATGTATGTATGTATGTATGTGTGTGTGTATGTGTAGTGCAGTTGCGCACCTGGGAAGCTGCACAACGAAGCTTAGGCCTGGAATCGATGCTCCAGAAACCATGGTTTGACTCCGGCAGCATGATTAGGTTAATTAGCGATGGTGCCGGCACGGAATGAAGCATTGTGTATCTGTGAGACTCATGTTATTGTAATACGTAAATTATGTCGTCTTCTTCTGTGTTCCACTATAGAATGTTCGCTTCGGTTGTATTATCCTGTCGTATATTAACGTATGCTATACCATATCATATTATATTACATTATATGTTGCCATGTTGCATTATCAATGTTATGCAGTAGAGAGCGTGTGTACATCAAATAATCACGTATGCATGGATGTGTAACTACATGTGTATATAATATATATATATATATATATACATATCAAAGGGGAGAGAGATTCAGAAAGACGACATGTGCATCTATACCGATGTACGCATACACATACGTGTAGAAGTGCGTGCGCATGTGTATTGAGAGTATGCGTGTATAAACATAGCTAAAAAGAAAGGTTGCCTTAGCAGATGTCTGTGGGCCTGTCATTCCTTCGCTGCCTCCTACTTACCAACCACAGAGCGAGGTGGTTGCCTATGACCTGAGCCCCAAGCTCGTGGCGCTGGCACAGAAGGAGGCGCCGGGAACCTGTAGAGTATCGTCAGCTCTTCATGATTGTTGTTGCACGTTGTCCAAGGGCATTTGCGATCTTTAACAAGATTCTATAAGTCTTGATACAGGTTGCAAAGAGCTGTACGAATTGCGCATGGGTTTCTCCGACATGGGCAAGCCTTCCGCTAGGGCACAGAATTTTTGAATTTTAGGAGGCTCAGATGTGTTTTCGTCTCAGAAGGAGCTCAATGTCAGGTTTTCGACACTTGGGCAAACCCTAAACCCTAACCACCGAAACCCTAAACCCTAAACCATCAACAAGTTTATGGAAGCGTTAACATGGGCATGGGGAGGAGGTCGGTGAGATGGGAGGGTCCAGGGAGATATCAGTGCTTGTCTAGGTCTGTCTTTGGGACTTATATTTTTCCCGGATTGGGCCTAAGAGGACGTTATCACGAATATTTTTTAGAGGCTTTAAGCCTAAACCCTAAACCCCTAAGGGACCAACCTAGTTTTCCTGGAACACACCTGCATCGACAGGGCCCGCTGCCTCTCCACAGCCCCGCATTCAACATCCAATGATTTGCGAGCATGACAGCTTGGAGGTTCATGGGTAGTTATAAGTGGAGTTAGGGGGTTCCTTTAAGGGTTTCTTTAAAGGGTTCTATAGGGTTTAGGGTTCATGGGTAGTTATAAGTGGAGTTATAAGTCCCCTAATATGGGTTATAATTACAGCTACCCTACTTGTAACCCCACTACCTGGGCTTGGGAGTACCATACTTTAATACTTGTTTTTGGGACTTGTTCCTTAAAGGAACCATTATAAAATAAAAGTCTATACTTTTTTCTCCCTGGTTACTTCAAAGCCCAGCTACCTCCAAGCATGACAGGTGAAGAACCTCCACATCACAAACGTGCAGGCCATCTCCTGTGGGTAGTTGGTTTAGGGTTTAGGGTTTAGGAGTTCTCTAGGCTAGGGTCCCACTTCAGGTCCCAAAGACAGTACGGCACCCTTATGAGAAGGCCCCCAAAGCGATCCTACTTCAGAGAACTAGTCATATCCGGAGCGACCGGAAATTTTCGCAGGAGTCTGTCCGGTCCGTCTGGACTGTTCAGAGAGCAACGTTGTCACAATATAGGAGCCTGAATACTGTAATTAGAATAGGGTTTTGGGGCCCATGCTACTATAGTTATGATAAGGAACCCCCAAAACCCTATTCTAACTATTAAGGCCAATACATTAGTCATTGGTTTTGCGTGTAGGGTTTAGCAGCATAACAAGCATGCTACTACGCTGACCAACCAGACAATTTCACTGCTTGTGCATCACGATTAAACTTGCCATTGAGTCTGCGATTGAAGCGTGTATGGCTGCTGCGAGTGCAGGCCGAGGGCATGATTTGCAAATTAGGTGACTGAACATGATTCTGATCGCCCGGATTGCGACAACCCTAAACCCTAAACCCTCAAAAGCACTGTCAGCAGCTCTACTCGAATGAGGATTCTGGAGCTCGTAGTCCCGACTTCGTGCAGACAGAAAGGGGCCCTTAACAAAAACAAACCTCGAAAGCCCCTCAAAGTGCTGAGGTCTCCGTGCGGGATTTGTCGCAGGTTTGGTACCGGCTAGAGCCCATCTCACAGTTCGGCCACCTCAACGACCCTGGGTTCATGTTTAGCAGAAAGGGGCGGGGGGTGTCCTTTTAAAGGATCCACAGGGTTCTATAAGGGCTTAGGGTTTCGATGGGCCTATGGGTATTTAGGGTTTTGGGTTTGGGGTTTTAGGGTGTATCGGGCCCTTTTTCGTGGGTTTGTAAGTGCTATACTAAGTTACTACAGGGCCTTCTAGTTTGGGATACGGAGCTTATGCCGCTAAAAGCTACCAGGGTTTAGGGTCTAGGGTATGACAAACGGCATGCCGGCTTTAGTAAGTCTTGTAACTAGTACTCTCCTGCACAGAATCTCAAGACAGGGAGTCCCGCATAAATGCTGTGCCTGCCTTGTTATTGTAGCATGCTTCCCAAGAACGCAGGAAATGGGGTCCTACACCTGATTATTATTACTATTATTATTATTACTATTATTATTATTACTACTATTATTATTATTATTACTATTACTGTGGCGTGGTTGACAAGAACTCAGGAAATGGAGTCCTACAACTTCGCCGTCCTAACCAACGTCCTCATTGCCCCTGGCGACCCAAACCTGCACCAGCGGATGCTGCTGAATCTCGCCGGTGCTGACAGGTGTAGGATTTAGGGTTAGGATTTCCGCGTTTAGTGATTTAGGGAAGGTTTAGGGTTAGGATTTTCGCGTTTAGTGATTTAGGGAAGGTGAGTTGCCTACATCCTCTTTTAAAGAACTCCTCAGATCCTTCCTCCACTCCTCCTCAAGCACCAGTAAGGAACGCCTACCGCTCTGTTTGTCCTGGTGGCCGCGTGCTTTGCATCGTTCCGGCTTGGGAGAGCGCCCTGTACGTTAACATGCGCTGCGACGAGGAGAAGTTCGAAGGCCCCTATTCCGTGGGCGTGGGGGGCCAGAAACCCACGAGGACAGAGGGCGCCGATGTCCTGAAGGGCATTCTCAGAAGGTCTGGTGTTCGGACGAAGCACTACCTGGAGCCTGAGTTCCGGCACCTGGCCGCGAAGGTCGGGCTTCAGGCCGGGAAGTTTGGGGCTGCCAGGCACTTGGAGGTTCATGGGTAGTTATAAGTGGGGTCATAAGTGGGGTAACTCTAAGTATAACTCAGTATAACCCATATTAGGGGACTTGTAACTCCACTTATAACTGCCGATGAACCTCCAAGCAGGCAAAGTTTTACCTTGGCTCTGATTACGCACCAACTCGCGCTACAGAGTGAAGTGACAGGTGATGCTCGTAGTCGTAGCCATATGCTGCGCCAACTGAGCGAAGCTTCTTCCCGACTGAGAAGATGTCTCTGCGCAGGTTGAGATGTGCGAGCGCGTGGAGTACAGCTGGAGATCGGAGCTGGGTCTGTCTTCCGACTGCCAGGCTGCCGAGGGAACCTAGATGCGAGTATAAGGATGCAGGCTTAGCAGCTGGAGCTCAGGCAGTGTTTTGGCAGTGACAATGTTGTGACTGCGATTATTGTTACAGTGTTGATGTTACTGTGATTGGCATGTGGATTGTTGGGAATTATGCTGCGTTGTGATTATCGTTCTTAGTATGGCTGCATGGCTCTCTTTGTTTGCTACTGCTGCGGCTACGGCTACAGCTACGCCCCCGGTTGCTGCTATTACTATGACAACGACGACTACCACTGCCTACCTACCTACCTACCTACCTACCTGCCTGCCTGCCTGCCTGCCTGCCTGCCCGCCCTGCCCTGCCTGACTACCCGCCTTACTAGCAGTGTTGCAGTAGCAGTTGCAGCAGCAGCGGCACCAGCAGTCGTTGAAAGTAAGCATGCCATGACAACAGGAAGCCCTGCCCAAAAGACAGAACCCAAAACATAGATCCCCAATAGGAATGTCAGCTTCGCACGGATGTGTTTGACACAGGGTAGGTCGTCGTGGTGGATGGAAAGATCGCAGTGTGTCTGCCTAAACCCTAAACCCTAAACCCTCTCTACCTAAGTACATGTAAATCTTAATGTCAAACTCACCCGTTTCGCCCGAATCCTAAATCCTAAAGGTGCCTCCGAGACTGCAAGACTCGCCGCTGCCCTGGGACTGGCTCTTCCTCCTCCAACGCCCAGGCTCCGAGGACCCGATCATTACTTTGACTACTACTACTACTACTGCTGCTGCTGTTGCTGCTTGCTATAACTTAGGTTTTGGGATTAGGGGATTACCATACACTACTCACTACCGCTGATGATATAAATACCCTAATTCCCATAGTTTAAGGTCCTTCATAAGGTAATCCGTAAACCCTAAGCCCTAATCCCAAAACCCTAAACCCTAAACCGGCAGTATTGTTGCAGTTCCCAGACTGAGAGGTCCGATTCTACAGTTAGGAGACAGTTCGGAGCTCTGGGAGTGTCGGGTGGTTTAGGGCTGCTTAGGGTGGTTTTTGCACTGGTTACTGGTGCTTTGGTTGGTTGTAGGGGGTTTAGGGTGTTGTGTTTAGTTCGGGACCCGAAACCCTAAACCCTAAATCCTGGGGCTCAGGGGTTAACCCTAGGGCTCCAAGTGATCAAATAGTACCTACTTTGGGGGTTAAAGTCTGTAAATAGTACCTACATTGGGCTATTTGGAGCCTCAGGTTAAGTGTTGCTTTGGTGCGTGGCTTTCCGGCGTTTCCCCGGAAGCGAAGAACATCACACATCCGGCTAAAGTCACGGCGGCAGAAGCCCTTCGGTTTAGGGTTTAGGGTTTAGGGTCCTCTAAGTCCCCTACACCCCTAAACCCTAAACCCCTAAACCCTAAACCCCTAAACCGTAAACCCTTTAGCCCCTAAACCCCAAAGAAGCCTTAAACCCTGAACCCTAAGGCCCCTCTAAGTCCTCGAGCCTTCCCTCCCAAACGACCAAAATCTAGTGGCAATCTTCGGCCCAACTTCTCGCAGCTCGGAGGGGTCAGCGTTTAGGGGTTTAGGGGGGTTTAGAGTGTAGAGAAGACTATACAAAACCTGCATTTAGTTCCCAAGCTCTACACAAAACTATACCAACAACACAACGCCCTGCAAGAAGCTGTTTGTCAAAGCCCATACATTACGCCCTAAACCCCAAGCCCTAGACCCTCAACCCTAAACCCCTAAACCCTAAACCCCTAAACCTTAAGCTTTAAGCCCTGAACCCCCTCAGGAGACGAAAAGACAGGGATCGAACCCGGCCCTGATCCAGTCTGACTCAGAGACTCGGCTTCCAACGCTCTTCCAAAACAAGGCCGGCGTCGTGGGGGGACGGGGTCCCAGGGGGTTCTCATAGGGGGTCTAAACCCTAAACCCTAAACCCTGCGCCGGGTTCCAGCAGGGCTTCTAGAGTCTTAGTGTTCGGGTCTTAGGGTTGGGATCCCATTATGTCGGCTCTCTGTCTATCTAGTTATCTATCGATTGATCCATCTATCGTTCGATCTATCGTTCCTATCTATCTTACCTATCTGGTCTATCTATATATCTGTCTATCTGTCTATCTGTCTGCCTGACTACCCATCTATCTATCCATCTATCTACCTATCTATCTATCTATCTATCTATCTATCGATCTGGCTTTCTATCTATCTAGCTATCTATCTATCTACCATTTATCTATCTATCTATCTATCTATCTATCTATCTACCTATCTATCTACCTATCGATCTATCTATCTGTCTATCTATCTATCTATCTATCTATCTATCTATCTAACTATCTGATCTACCTTATCTACCTTATCTGTCTCATCCATCCAGTCTTGTCTTATCTCTGTGTGTGTGTGTACCTACCGACCGACCGACGACCTACCGACCTACCTACCTACCAACCCTCCTTCCTTCCTTCCTTCCTTCCTTCCTTCCTTCCTGCCTCCCACCTACATACCTACCTGCCTACCTACCTACCTACCTACCTACCTACCTACCTACCTACCTGTCTATCTATCTATCTATCTGTTTATCTATCTATCTATCTATCTATCTATCTAT